GGTACTCTCATCTGATATTCTAGATCTTAAATCTATTATTAAGAATTCCTGTTCCTCAACACAATTGGCTGGAAAATCCACTCGGATTGAAGCCGTCAACTGTGAAGTAATGACTGATGCAGTTTCGGCTGAGAAAATGGTAGATCAACAAAACTTGATTTCTAATTTGAACAGTCAGATATCTAATTTGGCAAAACCTGGTGCAACATTTACTTCTATAGTGGAGGACATTAGCAATTTATCGAAGAACTTGAACTTCGAAGACTTAGTGCTTGTTGTTGGTGGTATAAATGACTTTCTGACCTAATTAATAACTGTAAAAATACTAACATTGCATTGGTGTCTGTTCCTTTTGGAAAGTTTGATGAGAGGATCGAAAACAGAATTTTTGATTTCAATTATAACCTGAAAAAAGCTGTTCAAAAAAATGGAAACGTGTTTTTTCTAGAAACTAACATAAGTAACTCATTTGTATCAAAGAAGTTTATTATAAATCGGTTGATTGGGGAATTTCGGTGGGACAGTAGAGACAGGGATATGAGTTGTACACAAATGGCAGATGAGTGTCGGACAGGCACAGTTCCTACAAATTTTCACCATCCACCTCTCACACAGATTATAAAGTAGATTCAGGGAAACAAAATTCTTTTACGATATTTTATTTAAATATTCAATCTATAAGAAAGAAAACTGACGAACTTCTTTTGGTTTTGGAGGCTAATGATTATCCTGATATTGTTTGTATTTGTGAGCATTGGCTAAAGGTTGAGGAACTGTGTTTTGTGTCTGACGAGTATATGACTTTGTCTAGATATTTTAGAACGACGTTGGAGCATGGTGGTACTATGATAATGGCAAAAAGATCCTTCTTAGCAAGTAACAGCTTTCATATTATCAACAGATTTGATGATTTAATAAAGGAAAAAGTTTTTGAATTTTCTATGATCTTTTCAAAAACAATTAATTTGTACATTGTCTGTATTTACCGTAGTCCAACTACAAACGCGGAGACTAACGCAAATTTTTTTTTAATCAAATTAGAACAGCTCTTGTCTCTGCTTCCACACAGGAGTAACTTGATTTTATTGGGTGATTTTAATATTAATTACGATGAATCCAACTCAGTTGATAGACTTAATTTGTGCAATTTGTTTGAGTCTTTTAATCTGTCCATGCACATAGATTCTCCCACTCGCATTACTAGATCTTCTTCCACCACTATTGACTATTTTTGTTCATCTCTTGATTTGTCTAATATTTCTTGTTCGGTTTTTAACTCGCGTCTAGGTGACCATGAAACTATCCTTGGTAAGATTTCATGTTCCATTAATACTAAGAAAAGTAAATACAAAGTTGGTAGACTGTTTAGTAGAACAAACTATGGAAAATTTGATGAAATATGTATGTCTATTCAATGGGAAAGTATATTCGAGAGCGGCAATCCTCTTGAAATCTTTCACACAATTTTGCAGGAGTCATTTAATGTAGCTTTTCCTATTCAGAAAATTAAGATTCGGTGCAAAAAACCTTGGATGACTGTTGGATTAGGAACTTCTTCTCTTAATATGAGATGTCTCCATACTCTCAGAAAATTTACTGACAATAATGCATTTCTCAATTATTTCCAACATTATAGATCCATATATAGAAGGACAATTAAGGATGCAAAAGAACTATACTATAGCAGTCGTTTAACTACAGCAAGCAATTCTCAGAAAGAAAGTTGGAATATTATAAATGAGTTGAGAGGAGTTAATAATCAATCTAGGATTAATGTTCCTGATATGACTCCAACAGTATTGAATAATTATTATTGTTCAGTTGCAGGTTCTCTTATGTCAAAATTAACTCCAATTGTTGATCCAATGGATTACTTGAAACATGTTCAAATAGAGCCATCATTCTACTTTTTTCCAACTGACTCTAGAGAAATCACACAAACTATAAAATCCATTAAAAATAAAAACTCATCTGGTGAAGACGGCATATCATTGAAAATATTTCTTGCTCTTCCTCAACCTGCACTTGATGCACTTTCAGGAGCGATTAATTATTCCTGGGAAATAGGAAAATTTCCAAATACTTTGAAGACTGCAAGTGTTATTCCTCTGCATAAGGGTGGGAATCTGGATGAACCTCAAAATTTCAGGCCAATTTCTCTATTATCAACCCTTTCGAAAATTGTCGAGAAGTTGGTTAAAAAGCGGGTTTTATCATTTTTAAACTATCATCAGATACTAAATTCAGATCATTTTGGTTTCCAAACTAAGAAAAGTACTGATGATGCAATATATAAATTTTTAGAGGAAATTTACTTTGGTTTTAATGCCGGTGAGGCTCTTGCAGCGGTCTTCTGTGACTTATCTAAGGCTTTTGATTGCGTCAGTCATGGAATTCTGCTGTGCAAGCTTCAAAAATATGGTTTCAGAGGGAAGGTTTTGGACTGGTTTCGCTCCTATCTTGAAGGGCGCTCTCAGAAAGTCATATTTGGTTCCCAATTATCTCAGGCCAATAAGGTCAAGCATGGGGTTCCTCAGGGCTCTGTACTAGGCCCTCTTCTCTTTTTAATGTATATTAATGATCTTGCTTTTGTCAATATTGAGGGTCAGTTCACATTTTTTGCAGATGACACTACTATATTATGGCGTGATTCAAGCGTCGATGCGTTAGTCGAAAAGGTTTCTTCAAATCTCCCAAAAATTAAACAGTGGTGCGATGGTAACTTGCTGACTCTGAATGTTGACAAGACCACTATTCTGAATTTTCATTGTAATTTAAATACTCTTTATCTTGGCAAGGATCCTCTTTTGGCTAAGCCTGGAACTAGGTTTTTGGGAGTTTTTATTGATGAGTCATTACATTTTGACACTCATATTAATAACCTCATGAAGAAAGTGGCTTCAGGATGTTATGCAGTGCGCACAATATGAAGGGAGCTAGGCAATGCTATGGCGAGGAGGGTTTACTATGCTTTGGTGGAATCTCATTTGCGTTATGGTATTGTATTTTCGGGAAATGCGAGTAATAACCTAATACATCCTATTTTTGTTCTACAAAAACGTGCCATTCGTTATATGTGTAACGTAAATAGTAGAGAATCATGCAGGCCTCTATTCAAATCTAAAAAAATTCTACCTCTTACATCACTGTTTATTTTGGAAACGGTCTGTATGATTTATAAGCGTAGGGATGTTTTACCAATGCCCGGTCATTTGTATGGCACTAGACGGTCACACTATTTAAGCTTGCCAATTCCTTCCTCTGCCTTAGTTAAAAATTCAATTATTTATGAGAGTCGTAAGATCTATAACCACCTACCTGAATATATAAAGCTTTATCCTACCCTCGGGCAATTTAAGAACGCAGTTAAGAGACTTTTGGTGGAGAGGGCATATTATGAGTTGGGAGAATACTATGGTGACACTTTTTAGTTTTTAACTTATTTGGAATATATTATTGTATTTTTTGTATGGTATTTCGGTTTCACTATTTGTCTGATTTTTAATAATTGTAAGTTTTATTGTATTTTTAAACCGTTTTACTTCCTGCTTTCTGTTGAGTATTGATTTGATCTCTCCTGTTCATCTGTTGCTTTTTAAAATTAAAATTTTATATTTTTTTTTGAAGTTTACCAATATTCGTGTTAGACTTAGACTTAGTTGTGTTTGCTTGTTTTATATTTTATATTTTGTATGTTGACCTTAGGACCTGTAATGTTATTTGAATCTATTTTGACCTTTATTATTGGACTTATACTTATTATGTGATACTTTATTTTTTATTTTTTTTTTATTAGCTTTGTCAACAAAACTTGATTTTAGACAATAAAGCATATTTTGAATTGATTTGATTTGATTTGACCATATAATAGGCCGACCAAAAATCAGAGAGTTGGGAAACCCAGAATAGGGAAAACAAGTTTTCTCCTATTATCCACTGATGTGGAAATTTTTGCATTAATTTTCTCTGCTATTCCATCATGCATACTGACGAGACCTGATAGGTCGAAACGCGTCTGTGAATGGAATAGCAGAGAAAATTATTCCAAAAATTTTTGTATCATAAATATTGGATTGAATTTGTGGTAAAAGAATTTTTACCATGCCTCTGATTTTTTAAAAGGACCCAGTTTGAACCAGTAGCACTCTACTGGATCAAAACTTGATCTTGTAGGTCTTCTCTAATTACTTCGGTATTTATTCTAGTGTGGAGTCCTTTTACTGAGAAGCCTGTCTTCTTATAGAATATAAGTGTGAAACTCAATGCTTTTTGTTTTTAAGAATTTTAGTATTTGTTAGATATTCAGATAAATTACAATTAAAAAATTATTTTCCATATTTTAGTTATCATAAGCCTACTATTTTCATGAGATAACGATAATGTAAATAATAATAAATTCGAAAAAACTGCAATTGATAGATAGATACAAATTATACCATAAAACCAACTCCTTGAACCTTTTCCTGGTATGCTTGTGTGTTTGCTATCTTCCAAAATTCCTTCAATATTTATTGGAATCATAAATCCTACCCCCAGAGTAATTTGCAAGTTGCAAGTCAAGTGAAGTTCCCTAAACGGTATTATTGGTACTGCCTATAACTTCCAGTAACATTTGTACCCGAGACTAGGGTAGACATATCCATATTTTCACAAAAACCCTTTTTTCCATGAATCGCAATTATTTCCATCAATCGTGGAAATGTTCATATTTTCACAAAAACCTTTTTTTCTTATGTATCGCAGTACCTAGTTTTACCCCTCTAAAACACCCTCAAAGTAATTTGCAAGTCAAGTGAGCTTCCCTTAACGATGTATATTGGTACTGTCTATAACTTCCAGTCAGTACCTGTAGACTAGAGTGGAAATGTGCATATTCTCACAAAAACCCTTTTTTCGATGAATCGCAATTTCCTTGGACTTTACTCTTACATGAATTCCCCACAGAGGAAACAAAGTAAATTTAGGCTATTTATCATACAAACTTAACTCACAGCAAAAATAATTCAGCATACTTTGAATCCACTAGAATCCTAATGATGATGAATTTTCAGAGCTCGACGGATCGAAATAGCTTCGTCGCTCCAACTCAACGAAACCCAAGTGAAAATCTGGTTCCAAAATCGTCGAATGAAGCAGAAAAAACGTATGAAAGAAGGCCTGATACCCCCAGAACCCATTGCCAGCATAAGAAGTACCAGCAGTTCTCCAACGTCCACGAGCGCATGCCTTCAACCTGATATTGTTGCTAGCAACGAAAACAGCAGAGAATCAAATAATTGACAAAATTAGAGTACACAAGAAGTGCAAATTGCCAAAGAAAAAACATTGGATAGGGTAAGGCTTCAAGTGATAAAAACGAAATTATATTTAAACGATTTGTAAATTTTATTATAATATATTCATAAAAGTAGGTATATTTATAATTAGGTAGAGTGTCATATTCAAAACAAAACAAAAAAACTTACTATTTTTATTCAAATGAGATTAATGTGTTGGTCGATCATAAAATGCATTTAAATTGTTCCTATACAAAGTCGAATTTTGAGCTTCTAAAAATATCGACCAAGAAAATCAAAGTCAGGATAACATAAAATTGTACATAGAATGTGTAATGTTAGGTTACTCAGGGATGTACTGTGTACCATGACGTAATAAAATATTATTTGAAAAATATTGACTTTTTCTTTGCTTCATGAAAATAATCCAGATAGTAGGTATATGGCAGAGGAGCTAGAGGAGTCATTTAAAGTAAGTGCTAGAAAATATGTTTATTGCAATAATATCATTGGATAATAAGTAGTTTTTAGAGTATTTAAATACAATATTATTTGGTATAGGTAGGTATATACAAAATAAATAAATCAATTAGTAATTAAAGGCCTTCAAATATAAGAAAATATTTTTGGAATTTAATATTTATTGGAAAGTATCAATGGCAGTGAGCAAAAATTTGAACATCAAACAAGACAATATAAACTGGTATAATGTAAGTGTATGGACGGGGTATATTAAGAGTCCAATTTATAAAATAGAGTTAATAATATAAGGAACTTAATAAAAAATTAAGCTAGTTTAGGTACTTATTTACACGTTCCAGTTAACCTTTTGTCATCAATTCAAAAGAAAAATCGAATTAGGAGTCCAACAAAAACCATTGAAAGTAACTTTTCTAGTTTTGTAGCCGCACTCCAGCCACACTCGATGTCGGTTTTCAAAACATCAATCACCGAATTGTTATTTTTATTTGCACACAAAGACATCCTGAATTCGTCATGTGTGTGCCTGCAAGTGTAGTCGGAATGTGTGAAAGATGGTGCAACACTAGGACTGTCTTCGCAAATGTATTGACGATGTTTTCTTTGCCAAACTTCAATCCAGCTAAAACAAACAAAAATTGACCCTATCAAGACCCAAACCAATTTGATACTTTGAAAATAAAAATTGACACTCCTTTACTCACCCCAAATCGCAATCACAATCCCACCGATTACCAATCATCTTAAGATCCGTTAGGAAAGTTTTTTTAAATAAATTAGGCTTAGAACCTGTAGATGGATTCATTAATCCTTTAAGCCCCCCATCTCTTACATCCACTGTTACATTTTTGGCACTTCCAATATTTTTAAACAATTCCTGCGGTACTTTGTCTATACTTGTATTTCTAATGCACAAGTGAAATTCTGGATATCTTATTCCCTGCAAAGAAAAACAGTGCCTCAAAATTATTCACACAAATTGAATTTGTTACCTTCAAAATATTATTCCCAAGTTTTTTCAATCCCTTTCCAGAGAACGTAATATTTCTAAGTTTCGGAGGTAAGTCACCTTGCATCTCCCTACTCAAATCACTATCGGTTGACCTATCAACGTGTATTTCCAAATTCCTCAATCCAGTATTATATTGAATCAATAAAGGAATATTAAAACTTTTAAATCCTGTGTAAAAGTTCATTTTGAGTGTCCTCAAAGAATACATTTTGCAAAACGCTCCTGCCTCCATTACCGACAGATCTAAATCCCTTACATCCAACTCTTCCAAATGATCAGCAACTCCCAACAAACTTGTATTGCTTAAGTAAGTCAATTGATTCGAAGCCATTGATAAATATCTCAATTGATCCAAAGAATGAGTTAAAATAGGAATAAGCGTCAAACTATTATCATCCAAATTAAGCCTTTGTAAGTTGGTCAGATTCGTAGCAAGCTCTGGAGGCATGTTTGGCAAGGAATTATAAGCCAAAGATAAAGTTACCAAGTTTGGAGTTGGCAAAATGGGCACGTTACGTAAAGACACATTGTCCATTTTCAAGTGGAGCAATGAGTATTCTATTCCTTGAAAACTTCCACCATTTTGCTCCAGACTCAATTGACTGTTATGACTTAAATCTAAATGGATAAGCTTGGGTAGGCCTTTGAATGTTCCACTGTCAATTTGAGCTATGCGATTATAAGACAAGTCTAAATAGTTGAGTTTCTAAAAATTATTAAATTGTAAGTATACTGATTCATTTAAACAAAAATTACTTTAAATCTATCCAATAGTCCTCCATGGGATAATGAAGATATTAAATTCCAAGACAAATCAAGTTCACATAAGGTTTGCGCCGCTGGTGTTGCTAAGCTGCTAAGTGGAACTTTGCTTAGTAAGTTGTGAGAAACATCAAGCCTTTCCAAACCTAAAATTTATTCAAATAAAATTTCTCAGTAATTAGTAACTTGTTAGTGAACCTTCTTCTCTAAATAAATTATCAGGCAGCATTCTAATTCGATTATGCGAAAGATCTGCCATCCTTAAATTACTCAGGAATCTAAAAATATCATTTGGCATATCGGTGATCCGATTGTATGAAACATCCAATACCTATAAAATTGTATAATTCAATATAGATTCCATAACTCAAAAACCTTTATTACCTGCAACTTCTTAGTATTCCTAAACATATCGAAATCCATTTCGTAAATTTGATTCCAAGACAAGTCCAGCCACTGCAAATGCGGCATGTTTCCGAAAACGTCTTTTGTGGCGTTCATTATTTGGTTATGGCTTAAATAGAGGCTGGTCAATGAAATTTCGGCCGGTCTGAAGAACTGTTTGCCAATTACCGAAATATTGTTGAAGGAAAGATCCAGAACTTTGATGTTTGAATGGTAACTGCCGAAACCTGTGCAGTAGATACAAACTGATTTAAAGTTAGGTCGAAAGGAAATTTTCCAACATCAATCGGTAGGAACTATTTAATATAATTTATATTATTCTAAATACGGTGGATGGTGGATGATATCAGGCAGAAGTAGAACAAGTGAAATTTGAAAAATTGAGTCTTTTTTTTTTCGTCCTACCTTCCTGATATCATCCATCCTACCAATTTGATAGGGACAATAACTGCTACACTAGGTATAATTAATTGAAACACTTCCAGATATAAACATAAATGTGCAAGTGAAAAATGACCAAACAAACTTAATCAAACATAATACTTTTTAGTCCTTAGATGAACTGACACATTTTGCTGGTGAATATCTAGAAAACGAGAAATGATAACGAGATTTAGTTTATTCTGATGAAATTTGGTATTACAGTCATGCGATTTTTGTAGATTGCACTTTGTTGTCAAGGTTTTAATACACACACTTTTAAACACAAGACTATCGATTTTTTGCATCTAAGTGAGAAAAAATTCATAATTCCATTTCTAAGCCTGAGATCCATTCGCGGTTTGTTCTGTTGTATTTTAAATACTTGAAGTAAATACTTAAGTACAAAAATGTACTCAAGTTTTTGACTTAAGTACTAATCCAAACATTGGTACTTGTACTTGCAATTTCAAGTTTTTCAAATTTTACTTGTACTTGATACTTAAAATATCAGTCAAGTATATTTTACTTGAAATTTTTTGAAAATTTGTACTTAAATGATATTAAATTACTTAAGTACCAGTGAAATTACTTGAAGTAAATATTTTTAATTGAAGTAGTTTTAAATACTTCAAAATTTACTGGACGACTAAATAAAGTTTTGTCTATTCATCGCATGACGTCATAAATACACGCAAAAATTGCAAAACCTATTTAAACTGACGCAGCAATAGGTGTGAGAACGCAAAAACAATACGATAATTTCGATAAAAGCTCTGCTCCAACCGACATGAGAAACGTTCAAGAACGGTAATTTCCAGTCGATCAATTCATTTGTCAAGTAGGATAAACGTTCAACTTATTGAAAAATAGGTGAGCAACTGGAAATTACTGGCTCTTAAACGGTTCTCATGTCGGTTGGAACAGAACTGATATATGCAGCAAGAATCAGAAAACGCGTGCCAGCGCCGGCTGTCGGACTCAGTTTGTGCATATGACGTCACAGTGCTAGGTGTGGGAACTTTATACCACGGTATCTTCGCAACGGTTGGTCGTAGCCTAGTGTGGTTTAAAAATTTGTTCTTCGGTTTTTTTTTTCTGAAACTTTTATTTTTGGGTCACTCTCCTGGTAGATTTTCCACCTTATACTATGCAATAATGCGCTGGCGAGTATATTTTAAAGAACTGTATTTATTTGTAATATTTTACAAAGTATTTTTATTAATGTATAATTAATGATCTGACTTATTGACTTATAACTTAACAAAAATGTCATGATATTGATAAAGACAGAAGCTCTGTAATACTTGGGTTACATTACCATTGCCGAAAGAGGCAGAGATAAGGTAGGATACATTGTATCGCAATTTCGGGATTGTTCTTGTGCGGTATGGTATAAAGAACTCTGGTTTCTAGTTAATTACTTTGGGCTTGTAAACCCCCTTTAAGATTATCGATAGCAATAATTTAATTCGTTAGTTTAATTCGAACAATACTTGAAATAAAAAAATACTTGAATTATTTCTTGAAGTATTTTTACGTAAATGTCATTTCAAGTACGCAAGTTTAAGTAAATACTTGAACTTGACTCTGACTTTCGTGGAATTTGGTACTTGTACTTGAATTTGGGCAATTCAAGACAATTTACTTGATATTTTAAGTATTTCCTTCTGTACTTATAGGTACTTGTACTAGTACTTAATTTGTATTAAAAAAGAAACTTCTACTTAATACTTAAGTACTTTTTCTTGGTACTTACAACAGCTCTGTTCACTAAATAATAACTTAGAAAGGGTTCTTTCTGTAGCTCTGTGCAAAGTATTATTAATTCCATACTGAATTCTACAAACATATTTATCCCAATCGTCACCATCTCGACTTACACACATACTTGCTGGTGCTGGAATCCAATATCTATTGAAATATGACTAATCTTGTTGTCTGCATAAGTTCTTCAACGGACTTCGAGTAAATGAAGTATACCTCTATCTGTAATAATTCTGTGTGGTGGACCTACTAGGTACATCCATTATTTCTTCTAAGGCTTTTGCAGAAATCACTGATCTCGAATTTCTGACTGGTTTTCAGAACACAAACTTCGTGAATCCGTTTATTATCAGTAGTTGGTATATATTGTTTTCCTTTTGTAGTCTTGATAAAGGGCTGGTAGTCTAAGTGCAACGTGTAAAATGGAAAACCGATTTTTTCTATAGAATGATGTTTGCCTGGAGGTTTTCCACTAGGAATTTTATTGTATAAACAATCTGTGCAAGCTCCAATATAGTTCTTAACATAGTTCTTCATTCTTGGCCACCAGTAGAGCTTTCTAAGTTTATGCAAAGTTTTTGGAAGAGCGGGGTGTCCTAAATCATCGTGATCCTCCATCTAATTTTACTAGGTACAACCCATAATAAATCTTCATTTTGTTGCTTAAATAATCGACCATCTCTAGTCTCATACCCATTTCCTATTCTCTTCTCTCTTCGACTTTTCAGCTAATACCTCCATAATATTCCTGACTTTTGGATCTTCTTTCTGATATAAATATAACCAATCATCTACTTCAACGGGGGAATTCATCATTACTTGTAAACCATCTGAGTAATCTGTTTCTTCTGTCTCACCAATCGGATTGCGTGACAACGCATCTACATGTGCTATTTTTATCGCAGGTCAATATATTACGTCAAATCTATACTCTTGCATTTTAAGCCACCAACGACCTATTCTTGGATTTAAATGCTTTTTAGTATAGAAACTTTTCAATGCATTGATACATACAAATTCTATCTTCACGCAAAGTTTCTAATTCTGATGAGTAATATTTCTGTTCTTCGGGTGTAGTCTGTCTACTCACATATACTCCATAGTGCATCAGATCATCTGCCTGTCTCTGAAGAATTATACCGCCAAATCCAAATAAGCTGGCAACTGTGTGTAATAATTGATCATAATATAGATTAGGTTTTTGTAAAAGCCCATACTCCATGTAAAATTTGTGTCAAGTTTATGATCAGAAGATCATCATTAATCAAGTGAATCTGCATTTAAAGTACAATGGAGGGTTTTTTGATGTTCGGGATGTCTGAGAGAACTAAAATATATTTCCATTACCGGCTCTTGATTGCCTTTATATCAATAATCCAACGAATCAAGAACCGGTAATAATCACGATTTGAACTAAAACCCAGACATCTCAGAGATGTCCCTATGATGTTCACAAACGATATTCAAGACGTCTTTTAGTCGTCTGCTTACGTCTTCATATTCATATGTTACAAAAACCAACGTCTTTAAGAGGTCTGCCTTAACACGTCTTCAGGGCTAATATTTGATTATTATAACTTTCAATTTTTGTGTATTCCAGGCGATAGGCTTTCTGAAATATTATAAAATATTTTTAGCCGATCAGCTGATACTTTCCAGTGCCAATTATGCAAAGCTTTAGGTTGGATTTTATTGGGAATTTCTTCAAATAGAGTTGATTTTGTTTGAGGAAAATTTTGATTTCTTTACTGGTGATTTACTTTGTCTATCAACCTTGTGTCCATATACCTTTGTGTATGCTCCGAGCTTATATAATACCAAAATATCAGTCTCATTTAGCTCTTTCTTCAACTGATCGAATGCTTGTTGCTGCTTTGCGTCCTATTTGAATTCTACATCTTTGGAAAACAAATGTGTTAAAGGTTTGACCTTTATCGCGTAATTACAAATAAATCGACGGAAATATGAGGAAAATCTCAAGAATTGTCTGACGTAAGTCACACTTTTAGGTTTGGGAAAGTCTAAAACACACTTTAATTTTCTTCTTCAAGGTCACATCCGAGTTTGCATTGAAGATATCCATTGTTATCTTTCGACCATTATCATCGTTCACTTCATTTCAACACACTCTACTTCTACTTTTTCTTTTTCATGTTCATCTAGTTTTATTTCTCTGCTTGTGATATTCATAATCGGTATCTCAACATGTCCATGATAATCTATGAATTACGCATCTAGGAATGCATCTTTCATAAAAATTTTGACATTCTACAAATAAGTCTTGATTTTTGTTATTTTCTGCCTCATAGACTGTAATATAACCAATATAATTTGATGGTATTACGCATAAGTTTTTAGCCCATAAGTTCACTTTAGGCTTGGACAATTCTGGTATCTTCAGATCCTTCAAACAGTCATCCAGTTTACCTTCATTCTTTTTTTCAAAGATTCTCAGTGTAGTGCCTCTTCGTATTATCACAATATGTTCTTGTTCATCATCTGATAATATGTAAATGTCAGTTATCTAGCATGCCATGCGCCAGGGTCTAAAACTTATGTCAACATTTCTAGCTATGCCCAAAGGCTGGATTTTTCCTTTGCCAAAACCTTTGATCCAATACTTCAATTTTATGTTTTCAGTATCTGATAATCTCAGCATATTGCATTGACTCAAAGTTCCTAAAGTTAATAGGTTGTCGGGTAATGCTAAACAAATGATGTCATCAGGAGGATCTAATGAGGATTTGCATTATGTTTAGGCATCTAGATGACGTCATAAAAGTTATCAGGCAACCTACCTCTTTCAAACAACCTTGGCATTGACTACCTAAGTCCACATAAGATTTTATGCTGTTCTCATTAATAGTTGCTTCCTGAAAATACTTTAGATTCTGCCGTTTTTATGCCACTATTTTGTGAGTTTACCGTTATTGCTGTGGTTCGCTGGTTCGTCTGAGGTGCTTCAGGGGTGGTTGAGGGTTGATTCTGGGAGCAATATTTCAAGATTAGCTCATATTTCTTGAATTTGGAGCAAAGGGGCTTCAGCATTTCTAGGTGGAAAGCATCTTGAAGAGTGTTGTTGACGCTCTACCCGGTTATCACCAGCTTATCGTGGTATCTTAGCTACCTCATTACTCAATGTCTGTGGTGCCTGGTTCTGCTTCTCACTTATTTTCTGAGCATTATTCATATTTTCCTTGTTCAAGTTAATTCTATCGAAGTTACCTCTATACATGCCAGTGAAAGGCTGCTAACGCCTACGTTCAATGTCTGCGTAGCTGTGCAAGTCTTGAAATAATGCATCGGTGCTATAATGCCTTTTTGCCCACATTGCATAGCACATTGATCAAGAATGTAACCCACTATAAAGCACTTGCTCTTTGATTCCATCTATTTCTAGGCCTAAATCCGTACATAACTTCACTTTTTCATGAAAATATGAATTTAAACCTTCATTTTTGCCCTGAACTTTGTTCTCCATTTTCTTAAATTTCACTGCCAAGCTTTTTTTGGGCGAAAATGTAGCATTGAACAAAATCTTTCCATGTCAAAATCTCATTACGCTTAGTCAAATACCAATATTTAGCTCCTTCTACTAACCTCGTTCTTGCTGTTTCCAGCTTGTAGCTGTCTGGAATTTGGTGTAGGGTTTGCGCACTATTTAATGTGTCCAGCCACAAAACTGCCTTCGAAGGGGTTCCATCAAAGTTCCCAATGTTTCTCAAAATTTCTGGGAACACAAAAAGACCTTGTGAGTGTTCGGGGGCTATGGGGTGATCAGCTGGCTGTGCAGGTGCTGCCCCACTGTTCGTAATCATCTCTACGTTTGTTTTCTATTATTATGTTCAGAAAAATTTAATTTAAATCAACAATTTCTACCTGTGTATCATCTAGCATCTGCATTTCTAGTACTTGAGTTCCTGCGTGTTCCTGTTGGAGTACCACCGCTGAAACCGTCTCTAGAATCAGGAAAATCTTCTCTTTCTTCGTCACCCATTTTAGGTCAAGTTCACTTTTCATCTCAACTTCACAAATAACTTCACGTCTTTACTGTCCTCACGTCTCTACAGTCTCACGTAAATGTTTTTCAAAAAGAACTCTCGAAGAAGTCTCAAAATTTGCCGTAAAAATCGATTTTTTTATTCAAATGTCATTGACGCCACTGATGAACAACACAAACTATATCCTAATCACAATCTGCAGTCCAAAGGTACAGATGAATTTATCATCTTTCCCTATCAAATAGCATTGAAAGGTGATTAATTTTAGCTGTACCTTTGGACTACAGATTATGTAGGTATAGTCGTATTCACGATAGAGTTTGAATTTTGACCGTTATTTTCATCAGTTGAAAAGAAATAAAATCCCCAGATCTGTCCCTTTTTCTGACAACTATCAAATAATGATACATGACATTTTGATTTGACACATAAAAATAACAGATTCGGGTCTTTGAATTTTGAATTTCGAATTTTTGTGTGAAATCTTTCAGTTTTTTGCCGTTTACTGCATTATTTTTTTATTTGTTATTATCGCAATCGGTTTTTTGGTTTTTTATTTAGTGTTCTGTGCCTTTGTGTTTCGGTGTTGCGTTTCAAACCTGGTTTTAGTTTGGATTTAAGTGTTTACTCTTTTTATAAGTGTTTACTTTGGACTCTAATTTTAGGATTTTTGGATTTTAATAACTTAACTTCCTTTAAAGAAATTGAAAATAAATTTTTATTCTGAAATGTATATCACTTTTCTAAATACGACCCTGTCGTTTATCCCAGCTGACGGAATCGAAGCGCTAACGCATGCTGACAACCTAAAGAAAAAGTTTACTAAAAATTGTCAACGCGAACTGTCAACTTCACTTTCTATCGTGATTTAGTCTATAGGTACCCTCTTTACCAAAGTGCAATGTGCAATTTTCACGATGTGATTTCAACATAACTAAGAAAAATTATACATTTTTGTAAAGTAGGAAAATCAGGCTTTCTGATGAGGATAAAATATACAGGGTATTTCAGTGAAAATAAGGCTTTAAAAATTTCTTATTCTCCCGGAACAAACCGCATCTCGATATCTTTTCTGGTTTTCGAGATATTTACCTGCAAAATATGTCAGTTTATCTAAGGACACCCTGTATAGTGGAGTAAAGGGCAATTATATATCAATTTCGTAATGATAGGCTTGTCCAAATAGTAAAAAAGTTTCGCGATTCAAAAATGACCACAAATCGTTTTTGGAAAAAGATTCCAAAATTATTACAATATCTGGCATCAAAACAACTTTTCATTTAAAACATAGAGTGTCCAAAATCCTGTGAATTTCTCTACAAGCTCAAGATTCTTCTACTATATATCGTTGTCAAATTTTGAGAGACTTGCAAAGTGTATAAACACCCTGTTATCACTAACAAAAGTGCTACTAAGTGAAAATTCTACTTAAAACATATCAATGAGCAATTATTTACCGGATGCTGGAATGGACATGAATAACTTTTCGAAATATTTTAAAGACTTACCAACATCGGTTTCGAAAGTTGTAGGCACTGACACGAGCAAATCCCTTAAATTATTGTGACTAACATTTAAATGAAACATTGCCAAGGTTCCTACTTGATCGAACATTGAAAATTCGAATTTTTCCAGGTTATTATAGGCCATGTCCAAATGTTCCAATTCCGGTAAGTTTTGGAAAGCTTCATAAGATATTGTCGATAATTTATTCCCTATATTATAAGATTATATTGATTAGAAAATTAGTTTTATAGAAAACTATTTTTTACCTTTTAAATTGAGCCGTTTGAGTTGCTCTAAACTCATAAACGACCTCCGCTCTAAAGACTCTATTTTATTATCGTCAAGATGAAGCTGCTCCAATTTTGGTAAGTGAACAAAAGTGTACTGTGATATGCTTCTTATAAAATTAAATGACAAAAAAATTTGCTCCAAATTAGTATGAATATCGCTCTAAAATAATCAGCATTAATTTATTTGTATGGTTTAATAAAATTTGTTACCTGGAAAGTGCCTTTATGAACAACTTCAATCATATTATCTTGTAACTCTAGAACTCGCAAGCAACCCAAAAAATGAAAACTTGTCTCACCCATAGTCCTAAACTTATTATTACTTAAATCCAGCACTTCTAAGTTACTCAGTACTTTAAATGGGTCACTGGGTACTGAAGAAAATGATGAGGAAAAAGCATGGGCAAGGCGTAAGGTGACCAAAGAATGACCAATCTAGAATAACATCCATTAGGATATTGTAAAAATATTGTTTGAACTTCTTGTACTTCTTTGAAAGCATTAGTTTCAATTGTCCCGATATTATTATCACTGAAATCAATAAATTTCAATCCGTGAACATGCCTAAAAGCATTACTTTTAATAGATTGTAAATTTGCATATGTAATTGAAAGTTCTTCCAAATCAAGGCCAAATTCAACAAAATCTTCTGGAGAAATATTTGGTTCGGATAATCTGGATAGTGTTAGAGCCCTTAAGCTTCTCAATCTACAATAGATAATTTTTGTTGGAGAAAATACAAATTTAAAGAGACTTACCGTCGTAAGTTTTGCATATTAACCAAAGCATTATCGACTCCGCTCAAATCCAATTTGTAAAGGCTAAATTGGAAACCGTTCATTGTATCCATGATGTTCCAGTTGGTAACCATGTTATCTTTGAGCATAAGAGCTTTAATGTATTGAAATCTTTGAAAAACGTCAGTTGGCAATAGGGAAATGTTATTTCCAGACAGGTCTAGGACTTCCAAAACGTTTTCCAGTCCGGCAAAAGCTGCGGGATCTACGTGCGTGATGCCGCAACTTCTTAGATATAATTCGCGGATTCTGGCTTGACGAAAAGCATTGTCCTAGAAAAAAAATTAGATTAATAGATATTAATGGTAGCAGGTTATGATAAAATATTGAAACTTCCAAGCAATGTATATAACATGGTTGGAAAAAGCAATAAAAAGTCTTTATATGTATTTATTGCTTTTTCCAACCATGGATAAATTCAATTTTCACCAAGTATCGGCTCAATCAATTCAATGTATATAACAGTTGGAGGAAATTCTGCAAAATTGCTGGCAAAACCACATGAAAGATCGACATCGTGAAGCTGAACTTGCCGAACTACAATGACCAGAAGATAAACTCTACAACAGGAACTTGAGGTTGCCCAAAGAGCTAAAGAATACGCAGAATCTGTAGAACTGGAAGGTGAATAAACTGAAGATATGCTAAGGAAGATGAAGAATTGGAAACGACTCAAGCAGAACTTCATGAAATAGAAGTTTAAGAAGCTATTGACTCTGATGTGGAACCTACGTCAACTCAGAAACAAGAGGAGGAAAAAGAGCAACTAGAAAGGGCTCAAGCCAAATAAGACGCTCTAGAACTTCCTTTGAAATAAGGATAAATGGCGATCTATATTTTACCATAACAATAGAAAAGAAGATTTCTGAGAACGCTCAATATGAAAAATGTGAAGACTGAATCTACTCCTATCCCACTGTCGTATAGAGCGGACGTTATCTCCCAAAACTAGGTATATCAGATAAATATTATGTAGGTATAAGTTTACCTCAATTTCGGTCAAAGGATTCCCATCCAAATAGGTTTTATTGACTATATTGAAATATTGAAAAGAGGCTGTTTCCAACACCCTTATTTGATTATAATCCATTCTAAATGTATCCAAATTGATCTAAAAAAAAAACACCAATGAATCACTTTTTACGTTGTTATTTTGAGGCTTACCTGGAAATTTAAATTGATATTGACACCTGGTTCATTCGAAGGCGACATTTTATTAATCCTATTGTAACTCAAATCCAAAGTTTTCAAAGTCCTTAGTGGTTGTAGGGCTTGATAAGGTATAGTAGATAATTGGTTGTCTCCTAGTAGTAGGTAGGACAATCGAGCCATACCATCTCGAAATACCTACAATAACAATTCAAATAAAAATTTCAAGAAATTTGTGCAAAACCTACCGATGAATCTATTTCACGTAAATTATTGCCCCTTAAATCAATAGTCTCGATTAACTTTAAGCCCCCAAAAGTATCTGGTGGCAGGTGGGTTATTGAATTTTCCGCTAGAATGAGGACTTCTAGGCCTTCGATGCCTCTCCAATCATCAGGAAAAATTTTGTTTATGTCATTGCCTGTATCAACAAATTATTATCACACATACAAATTCAAAAAAAAATAAAAATATCCTACCTGTAAGATCTAACAGCCTCAACTTCTGTAAATACCTCAAAGCTCTATTAGGAACCTTTGTCAGCTGACAATAACTAAGCTCCAACTCCCACAAAGACCTTTCCAAACCTAAAAAAGCCTCATCCGGTATTACAACCAACGGATTGAAACTAATATCAATTTTATACAATCCAGTGGTCTGCAAAAAATACGGTTCCAAAGTCCTCAATCGATTATTTTCCAAGTGCAACTTGAAAGCCTTCGAAATGTTAACAGTTTCAGGTATTCTAGGCAAATGCACATTCCGGCACGTTACAATTCCCAAATCTGGCACCGCTTTGGAACAGGTGCAAAGCGGATTGAAAAAACACGGCGGGTCTCGAACGGATTCAAGCTCTTTGGATTCGACTATCGATATCCAGATCATCAGGGCAAATATGGCTATGATTAGGGCGTAGCCGAATTGCATTATTTGGATTAATTCCTGGAAATAATTTTTTTAGTTTTATAAATTTACAAACAATCTATTTACCATTGTTAAAATTCCGGCAGCTAAACTCACACACGCACCTATTCAACGCAAGTTCAACTCATGCTTTAAATGAATGAGTTGATTCATTCATTTGGGTAATAATTTCAGTTAAACGTAGCCAAGAAGCAGGAACGGTAATTAGCGGTAGCCCAACGAAATTAAATGACCCCGGCCCTCGATTGAATTGACCAAACGAAACCTTAGCAGTTTTCCTTTGCATTTCAAATGCTTCAACTAATAGGATAATCATTTTTTTTTTTGTAATGCCCTAGACTATAGTTTACAAATGTGTGTATTGGTAAATTTGATTTATATAGGAATTGGGTTATTTATGTAAGACTCAACAGTAGGTTTCGTGACAACATTTCAAGGATTTTGCTTTTTTTTTTAATTTGGTAGTATCTTTATATCTATTGGCTTGATGATTATATCTAAAAGCAGATGCTGAACTCATTTAAGACTGCGTGCATTAGTCATTCAGATAGGTCAATGTTAATCTACTTCAATTAAATCCTAACGAGTTAATTACATAGACCGTCCAAATGCCTTGTAAATATAAGTTCTGGTAAGGTGATTTACCCCTTAACTGTATGTGAGGCTCATAGGCGCAACTAGGGGGGTGCTAAGCACCCCTAAAGCAAAAATCAGCACTCCCATTCGGCATCCCACCATAGCACTACCTACAGTGGCACCACCTAAAACTAATATGAAAAATCGATGCAACCAAATTATTTATTTTTTTTGTACTTTTTGTACTTACTTACGTCATCGATGACGTCATAATTTAGAAATTTTAGATTTTACTATCACTTCTCCGCGATTCTAAATTAACTTTTCCGCGATTGTAAACCCACTTTTCCGCGATTCTTATCTCACTTTTTCACGAATTTACACTAACTTTTTTTGAAATTTTTGACTCATTTTTTTTGCGATTTTTGACCCACTTTTTCGCAATTTTATCTTCAATTTTTTGCGATTTTTGGCTCTTTTTTTTTTCGATTTTTGACTCTCTTTTTTGCGATTTTGTCCTTACTTTTTTTGCGATTTTAGCCTCACTTTTTTGCGATTTCACCTCCGCGATTACAAATTTTTCCGCTATTTCATCCTCATTTTTCCGCGATTCTTACCTCGTTTTCCTGCGATTTTTTTCCCTACTTTCCGCGATTTTATCTTCACTTTTCCGCGAATTTGACCTCACTTTTTTTGCGATTTTTGAATAATTTTTTTTTGCAATTTTTGACTCATTTTTTTGCGATTTTACCATCACTTACCGCGATTCTAAATCCATTTTTTCGCGATTGTAAACCCACTTTTCTGTAAAATATTATCTCATTTTTCGGCGATTCTTGTCTCACTTTTTTTTTGCGATGTTATCCTCACTTTTCCGCGATTCCTATTTCATTATCCGCGATTTTATCCTCACTTTTCGTGACTTCATCCTCATTTTTCCGCGAGTCTCATCTTACTTTTCCGCGAATTTAAACTCACTTTTTTTGAAATTTTTGACTCGTGTTTTTTTTTGCGATTTTTGACTTTTTTTTACAATTTTATCATCACTTTCCGCGATTTCATCCACATTTTTCCTCATTTCAAAATTATGAGAATAACGATAATTTTTGAAAAGTTTCGAAAAATTACGGGAATTACGTTAAAGTACGTAAAATATGGAAAATTATGAGAATTGCAAACATTTACGAGAATTACGGAACATGACGAGAATCACGGAATAACAAAAACTTGCGGGAATTACAAAAATTATGGGAATTGCCAAATATTACACAAAAGAATTACGAAGTTACTCCAAAATTACGTCAATTATTTAAATATTACTAATTTTTGAAAAGTTACAAAAACTAACAAGACAAATTACGAAAATTACGAAAATAATGGGAATTAAAATGACGGAAATGACGAAAATTTACGGGAATTATGAGAAATTATAAAAATTACGGGAATTAAGGAAAACACGAAAAACTACGAAAATTACAAAAATTACGGGTATTACGAAATATTACGGGAAAGAATTACAAAGTTATTCCAAAATTACGTGAATTACGGTAATTCCCAAAATAACGGAAATCACAAGTTTTTGAAATTACGAAAATTACAATAACTTAGGGAGAATTAGAAAAGGAAAGTTGAAAAATTGGAAATACAAATAATTACTGGAATTACGAAAACATCACGATGGGAAAAGCACGAAAAATTGCGGGAATAACGAAAATTACCAAGTTTTCCAAAAATTGAAAAAAATAAGGGGGAATTAAAAAATAACAAGAATTATCTGAGAAATGACAGGAATTAAAAAAATTCGAAAATCCCCAAAAAAAAAAATACGGAAATTATCAACTTTCGAAAATTTCAAAAACTTAGGAGGAATTATAGAACTAACGGAGTTTTTATGAGAAATTAAGGAAATTAAAATTCTACGAAAATAATGGGAATTACGAAAATTTCGAGCTTTTCGAAAATTGTAAAAACTAAGGGGGTATTATGAAAATAACGAGAATTATCTGAGAAATGACAGGAATTACAAAATTTCGAAAATTCCCAAAATAAAATAAGAAAATTACGAGAATTACATAATTTCGAAATAATGAAAATAACGGAGTTTTCTGAGAAATTATAGAAATTAAAAAATTACGGAAATCTGAAAACTACAGGAATTATTCAAAAATTATGAAAAATACGAAAAAATCACGGGAATTAAAAATATTGTGAGAATTTTCAAAAAATAACAAGAATTACAAAAAGTTACGGGATTCACGAATTTTCCGAAAATTGCAGAAACTAAGGGGGAATTATGAAATTACCGAGAATTTTTTGAGAAATGACGGGAATTTCAAAATTTTCGAAAATTCCAAGAAAAAAAAATTACGGGAATTACCAATTTTTGAGAATCACAACTTGGGGGGAATTATAAAGATAACGGAGTTTTTTGAGAAATTACGGTAATTACAAAATTACAAAAATTTGAGGAACTACAGGAATTATAAAAATTGAAAGAAATAAGAAAAAATCACGGGAATTGCGAAAAAATTACGATAATTTCCAAGATTTGCAATGACTAAGGAAGAATTATAGAAATAGGGAGAATTATCTGAGAAATTAAGGAAATAATGAAAATTTACAACAAAAAAAAAATTGAAAATTACGGGAATTACGAACTTTTGAAAATAACAAAAACTTAGGGGGAATTATGAAATAAGTAACTGAATATTTTCAGAAATTACGGAAATAAAAAAATTACGACAATCTGAGAAACAACAGGAATTATTCAAAAATTACGGAAATTACAGAAAAATTACGATGAATTTGGGAAAGCTACGAAAAATTAAGGAAATTACGAAAATTACGAGTTTTGCGAAAATTGCAAAAACTAAAGAAAAATTATAAAAATAACGAAATTTATTTGAGAAATAACGGCTTTCAACAATTTTTTTTCGCAATTTCACCTTCACTTTTCCGCAATTTCAAAGTCCGAACTCACTTTCTCGCAATTTCAACAAATTTTTCCGCGAATTTTGCCTCACCTTTCCGTTATTCTTGCCTCATTTTTCAATAAGTATAACCTCACTTTTCCGCGATTTTCGCCTCACATTTCCGCAGTTTCAACCTGATTTTTCCATAATCTTGCTTGCTTGTTTTAATGGCGCTGCTACTGAGGCAATTTGCCAGCACGATTTCGTGGTGACCCTGATGTTGTCTGGCTCTAGGCCATATCATAGGTCCCCTATTTGTTTCACTCTTTTCCGAGCTCTTTTCTTGCTTCTAGGTACCGTCAAATTTAACCAGTGCTGTGATTAGGCTATGAAATAATTTTTTTTTTTTTTTTTTGAGGTAACAATTATCTAAAACAAAAGGTGAAATAGGGAAACAAAAAATCAAAATACACAATGCCACACGAGAGAAGCGATGGGAAGCAGGAATAGGATGCAATAAGTTGAGCACTACAGTTTCAATCTGTTAACAGTCAAAAAACTTATTATCATCTTAACGAATCTTTCATTCAAATTTGCCAAAATGGTATCTATACTGATATTGGGGTCGGAATTTTCATATATGCCTGTCTGATATAAGTCAAGATGTGGTAGGTAGTTAATGGGACATTCTAAAAATATATGGTTTAGGGATTCAATTGCCCCACATTGAAATAATGCATCATCCCTTAAGTTAATCCTAAAAAGGTGTTCTCCAGTCATGCAGTGCCCTGTGCGCATTCTAATAATTGTGGTAATATGTCTTCTGTCTATATAGGGAAAAAGTGAAAACCAACTCTTGACTGGAAAAACTGATTGGACCCTAGAATACTTATAGCCCTTATTACAAACAAGTGTTTGCCATTTAGCCTTGTAATCTTTAATCAGTCCTTCCTTAACACTAATCCAGATTTCCTGAGCATCTATTTCCATTCTTTAAGGAACTGTTAAAATTCTTCCTATGTTAGCCAACAGATCCGCCTCAGTATTTCCAGGGATTCCAGAATGACCTGGAATCCATGCCAAACGTATATCAAAACCATTCTTGTTAGCACCCAAAATCAGTGATTTTGTTTTTAGCGTCCAATAGTCTGCTGTTGCAGAATACAGACATTTATTAATTTTCTTTATTGCACTATCAGAGTCAGAAAAAATTATTGACGATTTAATCCTTTTCTGAATAGTTACTCTGACAGCATCATGTATTGCAACTGTCTCCGCTTTACAAATGCTTAACATATCTGGCAGTCTTATTGAGAAGTTGTGGTCAACAGCAGGTATGCTCATCCCATATCCTGTTTTATGGTCTTTTTTCGATGCATCTGTTCTGTATATACAAAAGTAAAATCATTTTTATATTTTTCCGTGGCTAACCAGAACTTTTCTTTAATCATACTTTCATTCTTTCTAACACAAAGGTTCACAGTTTTAATGGGGCTGTTAAGGGTGTCGAAATCAAAATCATAACAGGGCGAATTATCACTCTTATAAATGTTTTCAAAGTAAGGTAGAAAATGTTCTATAGCTATTATTAGATAAGGTAAATTTTCCCTTCTGTTGATATTGTTTGTTAGTATTATTCTGTTGCGTGTCCTCAAAATCAGATTTATCAAGGGGTGGTTTTTAATACTTATTATTTTTGCAACAAACTTAATTGAAATTAAATTTCTTCTGCATTCCAGGCTTAATAACGCCGTTTCAGCAAGAAGGGCAGCCTTTGGTGTGGATTTCATACAGCCAATACATATTCTAATACCCTCAAAAAAGATCGTTTCCATGGAATTAAGTATTTGATGATTAACTGGTTTGATAAACATAGCTCCAAACTCCAGATGAGATCTAATCAGAGCATGAAATATGGTCATTAAGGTACGCGGGTCAGCTCCC